TAGATTCTACATTCTCATCAGCAGTGAATGAGGGTTCCCTTTTTTCCACAGCCTCTCCAACACTTGTCATTGCTTGTCTTGTTGAGAATGGGCACTCTAACAGGTGTGAGGTGGTATCTCACTGTAGTTTTGATTTGCATTTCCTAATTGCCAGTGAGATTGAACATCTTTTCATACATCTGTTGGCTGTTTGTATGTCTTCCTGGGAGAGGTGTATTATCAGGTCCTCTGCCCACTTTTTGATTGGGTTGTTTGTTAGGTGTTGTTTTATGAGTTCTTTATATATTTGGAAACTAAACCTTTGTTGGAGCTACTCTTTGCAAATATCATCTCCCATCTGGTTGGCTGTCTCTTTGTTTTGTTGTTGCTTTTGCTGGGCAGAGGCTTTTTAGTTGAATGTAGTCCCATTCATTTATTTTTGCTTTTACTTCCCTTGCCTTTGGGGTCAAGTTCATAAAATGTTCTCTGCGACCAGGGTCCATAAGTTTGTTACCTATATTTCTTCTATGTAACTTTTTGTTTCAGGTCTTATATTTAGGTCTTTGATCCATTTTGAATTAATTTTTGTATGTGGGGAAAAACTGTAATACAATTTCATTTGTTTGCATGTGGCTTTCCAGTTTTCCTAATACCATTTATTTGGTTTTTATTTTTTTGTTAATCCTCACCCGAGGATATTTTTCTATTGATTTTTAGAGAGACTGGAAGGAAGGGGGAGAGACAGAGAGAGAAACATCGACATGAGAGACACACATCAATTGGTTGCCTTCCACAGAGCCCCAACCAGGGCCTGGATCAAGCCTGCAACTGAGGTACATGCCCTTGATCGGAATTGAACCAGGGACCCTTTAGTTCGAAGGCCAATGTTCTATCCACTCAGCCAAACCAGCTAGGGCCTAGCAACATTTATTGAAAAGACTCTTTTACTCCATTATGTGTTTCTGGCTCCTTTGTCAAAAATTATCTGTCCATATACATGTGCTTTTATAGCTGGGCTCTCTATTCTTTTTATTTTTTTTAATATTTAATTGATTTTTTACAGAGAGGAAGGGAGAGGAATAGAGAGTTAGAAACATCAATCAGCTGCCTCCTGCACACTCCCCACTGGGGATGTGCCTGCAACCAAGATACATGCCCTTGACTGGAATCGAACCCAGGACCCTTGAGTCCGCAGGCCGATGCTGTATCCACTGAGCCTAACCGGTTAGGGCTCTCTATTCTATTTCATTGATCTGTGTGTCTGTTTCTCTGCCAATACCATGCTGCTTTGGTTATAGTAACTCTGCTGTATAATTTAAAGTCAGGTAGCACGATACCTTCTGCTTGGTTCTTTTTTCTCAGGATTGCTTTGGGTATTTTTTGTGGTTCCATACAAATCTGATGATTTCTTGTTTATTTCTTCAAAAAGTAACATTGGGATTTTGATGGGGATTGCATTAAATCAGTATATTGCGTTGGGTAATAGGGCCATTTTAACTCTGTTGATTCTTCCAATCCATGAACATGGGATATTTTTCCATTTTATGGTGTTTTTTTTCAATCTCTTTTAATAATGTTTTATAATTTTCTTTCACATTCTTTGTTAAATTTATTCATGGGTATTTTATTCTTTTGGTTGCAATTGCAAAAGGATTTTTTAAAATTTCCTTTTCAGAAGTTTTGTTCTTAATATACAGGAAGGCAATGGAATTTTGCACATTGATTTTGTATCCTGCAACTTGACTGTATGTTTATTGTTTCTAATGGTTCTTTGGTGGAGTCTTTAGGGTTTTCTATATATAGGATCATGGCATCCACAAAAAGTGACAGTTTGGCTTCTTCCTTCCCTATTTGGATGCCTTTTACTTCCTTCTTTTGCCTCATTGCTCTGCCTAGGACTTCCAGCACTTTGCTGAATAAGAGTGGTGAGAGTGGACATCCTTGTCTTGTTCCTGATCTTAGAGGAAAAGCTTTCAGTTTTTCACCATTGAGTATGATATTAGCTGAGGGTTTATCATATACTAGTGGCCCGATGCACAAAATTCGTGCAAGAGTAGGCCTTTGCAGCCACTGTGGCTGCCTGGATCCCTCCCTCGCTGCCACAGAGGCTGCCTCGATCCCATGACTGCAGCCCCGGCTTCATCTGGAAGGTCGTCCGGAAGGATGTCTGGTCTAACTAGCATATTAAGCTTTTATTATTATAGATGGCCTTTATTATGTTGAGGTACTTTCCTTCTATTTCTATTTTATTGAGTGTTTTAATCATAAATGGATGTTGCATCTTATCAAATGCTTTTTCTGCATCTCTTGATAAGATCACATGAATTTTATCCTGTCTTTGGTTAATGTGGTGTATTACATTGGTTGATTTGTAAATGTTGAACCATCCTTGTGCCCCTGGAATGAACCCCTTGATCGTGATGTATGAAATTGTGGATGTACTGTTGTATTCGATTTCCTAGTGTTTGGTTTAGGATTTTTGCATCTGTGTTCATCAGAGATATTGATCTATAGTTTTCTTTTTTTATCATCTTTGCCAGGTTTTGGTATCAGGGCTATATTGGCCTCGTAGAATGTGTTAGGAGGTATTGCCTCCTCTTCAAATTTTTGATGAGTTTGAGAAGGATAGGTTTTAAACCTTCTTTGAACGTTTGTAGAATTCACTGGCGAAGCCATCTGGTCCTGGACTTTTAATTTTGGAGGTTTTTGATGGTTGTTTCAATTTCCTCATTGCTGATCGGTCTATTTAGATTTTCCAGTTCTTCATGATTTAGTCTAGGAACTTACCCATTTCTTTTAGGTTATTGAATTTGGTGGCTGTAGTCTTTTATAATATTCTAGTGTGATCCTTGTGTATCTGTAATGTCTGTCATGACTTCTCCTCTCTCACTTCTGATATTGTTTATATCAATCTTTCTCCTTTTTTACTTAGTGAGTCTAGCCAGGGGTTTATCAATTTTATTAATCTTTTCAAAGAAGCAGCTCTGTTTTATTAATTTTTTGTATAGTCTTTTTGTTCTCTATTTCATTCAATTCTGCTCTAATTTTTATTATTTTCTTTATTCTGCTGACTTTGGATTGCTTTTGTTCTTTTTCTAGCTCTTTAAGACATGATGTTATGTTGTTTACTTAGGATTTCTCTTGTTTCTTGAGATGGGCCTGTAATGATATACTAGTAAACTTCCCTCTTATTATTATTTTTAAAAATATATTTTATTGATTTTTTACAGAGAGGAAGGGAGAGGCATAGAGAGTTAGAAACATCGATGGAAGAGAAACATCGATCAGCTGCCTCCTGCACACCTCCTACTGGGGATGTGCCCGCAACCCAGGTACATGCCCTTGACCGGAATCCAACCTGGGACCTTTCAGTCCGCAGGCCGATGCTCTATCCACTGAGCCAAACCAGTCAGGGCCAACTTCCCTCTTATTACTGCTTTCCCTGCATCCCAGAGGTTTTGATATGTTATATTGTCATTCTCATTTGTCTCTTTATAACTTTTGATTTCATCTTTTATTTCTTCTTTGACCCAGTCATTTTTAGTAATATGTTGTTTAATCTCCACGTATTTGTGGGTTTCCTTACTTCTGTTTTGCAGTTATTTCTAATTTCAAGGCATCGTGGTCAGAGAATATGCTTGGTATAACTTCAGTCTTCTTGAATTTTTTTTCCTTAAAAATAATTTATTCATTTTCCGATCACAAGGCACAGGACCGTGCAAGTGCGATGCCTGAGACGCTGTGGCTGCCGTCCTGCCTGTGCATCTGTAAACCCCTCTGTGCAATACCAGGTCCCTCCTGCCCCAGCAGTTGCTGCATCCTAACAGCTGTGTCTAGTATCGTGTGGGAAGTTTAAAGAGTTTTCCAGCTTGTAAATGCTGAAAGGGAACTAGCTGTTCCAGGTGCTCATTTCCTAAAACTCTGAGTAGGTCACAGGCAAATTACGCCCAACTGACAGGGCCATGTACAGCTTTTAAAAGGCCTTTCTTTAAACAGCAGTGACTAAGGCCCCTTCCGTGTCCCCAGCCTTCTAAGGCCCAAGGCAAGGTGCCTGTGGCCCCGGAACAGCCCCTGGGCTTCCCCACATCCTAGGGGGCGATGGAGGAAGGGCAGGCCGGGCCAGGCGTGAGGAATAACAGTCAGTGTTATTGGGCTCAGACCAGGAGTCCATGGGTCTTGAGGACCGCTGTGAATCTGTCAGTTTTCTTCTCCACGTTCTTTTCGGCCTGTTTCCGTAGCCTCACGAGCTGCTTTCTCTTGCGGTGATGGACCTTGGCCTTCTCCTTCCTCTTCTCCTCCAGAGGGGCTGTGCCGGCCTGGTATTCCAGCCACCCGCGTAGCCAGGCGCCCCAGGCAGGCGGACTCCCGGGCAGGCTGCAGACGCACAACCTTGAGGGCGGCGGGAACCCCATTCGCTTTTCCTTGTCATAGGGCGGTGGGATCCTGTCAGACACCTGGAGGCGGTCCAAGGCGGCCTGGCCGCTGGTCTTGTGGGGCAGCCTCGCTCGGCCGCCAGAAGATGTGGCTGCGGGCTCGGGAGTGCTAAGGGCCACGGGATGGGTTGGTGTTTATCTGTTTGCAGAGGAAGGCCAGGTACTTCAACTTGTTTCTGTAGAAATTGCCAGAAATGTGATGCCCTCACAGAGCACAACCACCACCTTGCAGCCCAGCAGTACCTGCTTGGCCACGATGGCCGCCAGGCGGCCCAGGAGATGGCCTCGGCCATCAAGCACCAGGCCCTGCCCTCCGCTATCCTCGGCAGCCGCCTGGGAAAGCATCTTGTATTTTTCTTTCTTTCTTTCTTTTTTTTTTTTTTACAAGAAACATGTATATATAATATTTATATAGATTCAATAAAAGCCTGAAAAACCAGGATTTGTAGTCAGTCACTGCACTTATTGCAAAATGAGGTAATTGAGATGTTAGCAGAGTAAGATTAATGCAGTTGCCCTCAGTGTCGATACCTCATGTCTGGACTCTTCAGGAACAATGTGTTTCTATTCCCCTGGACTCCGGCTTTTGTATGCACAGCCCTGCCCCAGGGTCCCAGCTTAGTCTCCTAACTGGTCTTCAAGAAAGAACCATGGACGTTCCTTAGAGGTTGGTTTCGTCCCAGGAAGGGTCGTTCATGTTCTTTAAAACTTTCCTCACTAGCTTTTCCAAGTCTTTGCGGGCTCGCTGTTCTTCCTCCAGAGATTTCTTCATCTTCTTGTTATCCTGTCTTAATTCTTGGACTTCATCCTTCAATGCATAGACGGTATCAACAAGACTCTTTTCTTCTATCACTGTCTGACCATTGCTTTTTGTTTCTTCAATTATAATTTTTTCTTCTTCTGGAAGCAAAACTTGTGGAGCAGATTCTTTACGTGAACTTGAGTTAAGTGTTTGCCGTGTTTTGGCGCTTGTGCAATAAGCTTCGATGACTTTCAGAATCTGTGCGTCTTCTTCCAAAGCAGCTGTGCTTTTCCTCAGCGCAAACTCTTCGTCCGAAGGCTTCCGCTCTGGTTTACGCTTAGGTAGCAACTTTTTCATGGTCTTGGGACTCTTACTAAGATCCTCCTTATAGCAGAGAGCAGCTGAGGGCCGGAGGGGAGGTGTGGGTCGCAGACAGCTCAGACTCCATGGCTTCGGTGTCTTCGGAGGCTCCAGGGGCCCCCAGTTGATGGTCGTGTGTGGGGTGCCGTGGTGGGAGGGATGGGGCAGTGTGTGGTAGGCAGGCGTCAGAGGCACGACTTGCTGTCTGCATGCTTGCTGGATGGGGTGATCGGATGGGTGGGGAGGGTATGAGACGGCACAGAATGAGGCTTAATGGGGGGATTGCTGACAGATGTGACTTTCGTTTGCTTCTGTAGATGGTCCACCCATTCATGGAGATCCTGCTGGTTGTTGCATGATACTAATATCCGCTCAATCATGCTCCCTGATATTTCAAATGCATTTCTATGATTTTCACTGTCCTCAAGCTTTGTGATTGTCATTCCTGTCGTTGGTAGCTTTCCCTGATAGATAAAACCACTCATCTGGGACTGCAGACAACATTAGCAAAATATTTGGGAAGAGTAGAAGATATCTTTCATTCTTTTCCTCACTTCTAGCACACTGCATCATGACCTGGGACATGTAAATGACATTGCCCAGAGCCTTAATGTCATCTCCCAGCTGCGGATGGCTTCCGTCAGGATCTGCAACTCCAGCTCTTTCCTTTTCTGTGCGTCTTGACACTGGGCTGAAAGGTTTTTGAAGGCAGTCATGGATTTTTGAATATCTTGTCTATCTGGATGATAATCCTCCATGTGTCTCTCGAGCTCCTTGAGCAGAGTGGGGGACTTATCCAGGCGCATGAATGGTTTGCTGAGGCCAGTGGTCAACACGAGAATCCCCGGACTGTTGGCACCTTTCATCTCCATGAACTCTCCCAACTCCTCACTGTGCTCTGTGAGAACATTCACGGCAGATGGGTGATTGGCACAATATGAAAGGTACAAGGTTTTCATTTGTGGCATCAGATTTAAAAAGCAGCCTCCAACTCTCTGCTGAGCTTCAGGCAACTTGGTGCATTCTTCTAAAGACTGTACAAGCATTTGCTGGAAAGAACATATTTCTTCTAGATTTCCCATTAAATATGAAGTGTTTGCTGAACTTAACTTCTCACTGGTCTGCAATGGCCGTAGATAGGTTGAAAGCACAGTCTGAAGTTCTTTAGAGTATTCATTTTCTGTTTCCAAAATATTCTGTAGCACCACATTATAATAGCTTTTGTTAATGGCAGTTGTATCAAATCCTTTGGGAGGGCTCTTCAAAGTTCCAGATTTGGGAGACACGGGCTTTTCAAACTTCGATACTGGCCCTGGAATAATTCTGAAGTCCGACTGGGAAGGCTGGGATCCCAGGGAGTCAAAAGACTTTATCCGATGAGATGAGGGCCGGGCACACACAGAGTCACTTCCCAGTCCAATGTCTGCTGTTACTTTATTTAAAGTCACTAAGGAACTGAGGACCTTGTTAAAATTCTGCCCCTGGTACAAATCATTTGCATCAAATGTCTCCAGGCGCAGGGAGGCCCCGCAGCCTCGCAGAAACTCGCGGATGTTGCTCAGACATCGCTCTCGCTGCGCGGCTCCGGGTAGACCCTCTTTCCTTCCTCCGGGCTCGCATCTTGTATTTTTCGATGCTAGTTCTGTGACCTCATATGTGGTCTATCCTTGAGAATGTTCCATGTGCACCGGAGAAGAATATATAGTTTGATGTTCTGGGATGAAAGGTTCTGTCAATGCCAATTATGTCCATTTGGTCTAGTGTTTCATTTAAGGCCAATATTTCTTTGTTGTTGTTATTAATCCTCACCTGACGTGAGGGGGAGAGACAGAGAGAGAAAGATAGACGTGAGAGAGACACATCGACTGGTAGAAGGGCAAAATGGGGGAAAAACGGGGGATATCTGTAATACTCTCAACATAAAGATTACACACGCACACACACACAAACAGAATATAACTGTTAATTTTTATTATACTTTCAACCTCCTAACTCTCATTTGGCTATTTTTCACACCTTATATCCCTCTATGGTATTCTCTATTTGGTGAGACATGTCATCATAACCTCCTTTACTTATTTAATTGTGGTTTTAGTTAGTTCTGTGAACATGTTTTAAATGAGTGCAGCACATTCAAGTCCTTTTATGGCCCTGGCCAGGCAGCTCAGTTGGTTGGGGCCTTGTCCCAATATGCCAAGGTTGTGGGTGTGATACCCAGTCAGGGCACATACAAGAAACAACCAACGAGTGCATGAATAAGTGGAACAGCAAATCAGTGTTTCTCTCTCTCTCTCTCTCTCTCTCTCTCAAATCAGTCAATACTTTCTTTTTATAAAAGTCTTTTTCTGACATCTGGTCTCTCTCACAGGCAGTCTCGGTTGCCTGACCCCCCTCCCCGCCCTTTCCCCCCAGCACATGGGTCATGTTTCCCGTTTATTTTGTGTGTGTGTCTGCATGTCATGTACATATACTGGTGGGTGAGGAAATGGACATTTCAGATAGTATATTGTAGCAACTCTGGGTATGAGTTTCCCTACTCTGGGGCGTGTTATTTTTATTTTCTTGTTTATTTGTTTAGGGTTTTTAGGAAAGCCACTGTCCTCCCCACAGTGTTCAGCCTCTGTTGTGTTTCCCAGGAAGACCCGGCACTGGGTAAGCGCCCACTCACCCTGGGGTGGGGTGGTTGGGTAGGCTTCTCCTCCTTTCCCCGGCCACACCCACAGACGCTCTATTTTCCTCTGATATCGCTACCGTTTTTTTTCAACTATGCCCTGGGGCATAAACTGCTCTACAAACTAATCCAATCAACTCCCAGCTCCTTTGAAGGGATAGTGTGCGGGGTCCATATTTGATTTTTGTTCTGATCCCAGGAGGGCTCCACCTACTTGTATTATTTCCTTGTTCTGTCCTTCACGCGGGCCAGCCTGCAGTTCATCCTGACTCTTGAATCTCTGGATTGCCTTTCTCCAGAACCTCTGCTGTCCTTGAGAACACCTGGAGGCTCGAACATCTTCAATCTCTGTTTCCAATGAGGTCAGTTTCTTCGGCAAGCGAGTAGGGCTGTCTGTTTTATGGCTAGTTTTTTTTGAGGGGTGGAAAAACTTTCTTCTACCCTCAGTGTTCTTTTGGCTGATCTCATAATCAAATAGACATGAGACAGTTGACCAGCAAAAATAACCAAATTTAGCACATACATATGTTTGGGAACCCTGCAGACATGCATGAGAGATTCAGAGACAGAAAGGGAGCATGGGTATGTAAGCCCTTCTGGATTAGGAATGAGTAGGTATGTAAGCCCTTCTGGACTAGGGGCTTCAAAGAGTCATTGTGTGGTGGGCAGTTAGACAGATATGAGCAGAGCAAGGATGAGGGCCAGGAACAGGTCACCAGGGTGGCAGCCCAGGTGCCTAGCAAAGGACAATCAACTGGAGGGAGGGACCTCGCTCCCAGGTGACCTTTCCTCCCCAGCATATCGCTGGTCACCACGGTTTGGACCCCTGACCTTTCCTCCCCAGAGATAACACCTAGGTCTCAATTGTATTCAGTTCCAGGCCCAGAAAAGCAGCAAAACCAGATAAGCAGCCCCATGCTGACCTCACACCCAGCTGCCTTGGATAACGACCCCCTGCCATGGTGCCAATCAGTCAATCAGTAGGGACCCCCACCCTGGAAGGACACACCTGGGAACTGATGAATATTCATTGTGATCATCCTCTAAAATCTCTACTCTTAAAATCCCTAGGCCCTAGCTGGATGCTCAGTGGTTAGAGTTCCGGCCAGAGGACTGGAGGGTCTTGGGTTTGATTCCAGTCAAGGGCACTGTTGTAGTAAAATATAGAAATGTTTAAAAATGTTTTTAAAATATCTAAAAATGTTAAAAAGGTTTAAAAATGTTTGAGTTAACTTTCTTGAAACGTGAAGTGTGATATTAAGGACACATTCCCCACTGCCCTGAAGCGTGTGTGCCCCATAGATAGGATTTGAACTTCAGTTACTGACTCAGAGTGACTTGCTAAGATAACCATTTGTGAGTGTTGTACTCTCCCTAGATAACCACATAGCCCTTCGCCCTGTTTGAGATGAACATGTGTGCATTGACGTAATTCATTGATAGCCACCTGAACTGCTGCGGGTGCGAACAGCCTTTAAAAAATGGGTCCTGACCAGCCAACGGTGCTCGCCTGTCGAGACAGCCACAAAGGCACGTCCTTTTGTCAGTCTGGCAAGGGACGCCGCTCCGCGCTCCTCTCTCTGCCAGACAACAGAAGAACAGCTAGTACCTCCCGATCGAGATGTGACCAAGGGTGAGGAACGCCAGCCCCCTGCACCCGGACCGGACCAGCCCAGCTGCCGGACCCCAGAGGACAGCACCACCGGGATCCCATTTCTTACATGAATTACTTCTACCTCCGTGACTTTATAAGTAAATGTTCTCTTATAGTTTGAGTCTTGGCTCTGAATTCAAGTACCGAGGTTGCTGAATGCAGGTCTGATGTGAACCCACTGGCCTAACACCTGGGGCCATTCCTGCTCCCCCACAATTGCAGGATAATAAGAGTAGATGAAAATTTTAAAAAAAATTAAATCTTTTAAAAAATATATTTTTATTGATGTCAGAGAGGAAGGGAGAAGGAGAGAGAGATAGAAACATCAATGATGAGAGAGAATCATTGACAGCTGCTTCCTACATGCCCCCTACTGGGGATCGAGCCCACAACTCCGGCATGTGCCCTTGACCAGAATCGACCCTGGGACCATTCAGGCTCTATCCACTGAGTGCCGGAATCCATTTATTGTCTTCACTAGCTGAGTATAGACAGAGACCCCCAAAAGTTAGTAACCTTTGAAGCCCTAACAAAGGTCAGGGCTGTGAACCACCCAGTTAATTTAGACACCATCCAGTTAATCTGGATAATGGTAGCTGAAGCATCATCCTCACTTTAGTTCACTTAATTCCTTAGATACTTGTGTAGATCCTTGTTGATTATTGTTGATCAGATACTCTGCCTATTTCTGGAAATTGTCTGCTGATGAGCTAATCCGTGTGTCATTGAAACCTCCTTACCCTAAGGGCTACTCCAGATCAATAAAAGATTGGAGCGGCCTGAGCATTAGTGGAAGTCCTTCTGGACTTGCCCGCCTGGTCCCCCAATATTTCAAAATTATCTCGTGTCATTTTTCTCTCATTTGTGTGCGGCTCCTCTTTTCAGATCCCGAACCCTGATCCACGCAGGACGTGGAAGGAAACACTCAACAACTGAGCAAACCAGCTGAGGAATAAAATATTTTTTAAAAGCATTGAAAATAAGGTAGAGTAGATGTTAAGTAAATAGAAGTTTGCCCTGCCCTGTAGATAGTTTTAAAAAGTCATCTCTGACAATCTCTTATTATGGGCAAGGCCCCTCCCTAATTCAAGTTCTTCTAGGTAGCTGGGGAGTTGGGGGGAGGGGCACAGAAGTGTCTCTAGAGCCTGCAGCTAACGTAGCTCAAAACCATCTGCACATGACAGGAGCACATTTGAGGTGACTGGTTCTGCACCCCCATGCTATCCCAGGCAAAATTTCTGAGCCAGGGCTCTGAGCTGGGTGTGAGGACCATGGCAAACTCCTCACAGGGTGACGTGGGAGAGGAAAATGAGACCGAGAGCTGAGCAAACGGGCCCAGCACTTTACAGCAGACACAGAAGTCTCCTCCCTAGAGATCACAGCGAGGCCTCCGTGTATTTCAGCTCCAGGCCCAGAAAGCAGCAAATCCAGGTGGGCAGCACCAGGTGGGAATCGAACCGGACCTCTTGGTCCATGGGACCACGCTCAACCACTGAGCCACACAGCTGGCTCAGGCTCCCTTTTTGGTAACATTTTCTGGGGCCTCCAGCTGGCAACCCTGGAGCGTCTTGTGCTTTGCCCTTTCTCCCCACCTCCCGACCCCCGGCCTCTCCCGCAGGGTGTCACCTTTGCCTGGCTCTGGATTCTTTTCCAGCCGGAACCCAGGTACCCAGGTGGCTGAACCAAGGTGCGGTCTGACCCCTCTGGCTAACATCTGTGCCAACATGATGGGTGAGGACTTGGATTGCTTCCTCACCACTGTGGCTTGAAGGACTTGGCTGTGTTTTCTTCCTTCTTTTGTCGTCCACGGGGTTGTCCCCCTCTCTCTGCACTGCCGCTCCACGCGCAGGATGAGCATTTAAGAGCCGCTAGGGTGCTCGCCACTTGAAGACTCCGTGACAGGATAGGTCAGTCATGGGCCAGAGGAGTCCGTACCCGGCACCCGACTGCAAGGCAATGTCCGGGAACCCAGGCGGCTGTGAAACCTCACAGGCTCTGCCAGGCGGCCCTTCTCTGCCAGGTGATAGTACTGGTGAGAGGGGCCCCCATCTTCCCTTTCCTTTCTTTGTGCCTGAGGGTGAATTCAGGTGGACTTTCTTTGAGTTGTTTTTTAAAAAGCCTCAAGGTGGAGCTAAAGGTTAAGGGCAGAGAGACCGAGGCTATAGATAAGGGTTGAGATAACTAAACTAATTTGTCTGAATTGCACATTAGAAGCTCCTAGGAGAAGCACAGGTAAATTACACAATAGGAAACCAGAGAAACTCATCTCGGGCAGAGGGGAGCTATTGACTGTATACATTCCTTGTGTTGATGGGCGGGGGTTGGGGGGGGGGGGGGAGGCACACAGGGAAGAGGTTTGGATACGGTGGAGGGATTTTATCAGGCGAGGGGGAGGTGAAGTGCCCTGGAGATGTGGAGGGCAGGTGATCCTCTGTGTGTTTTCTTTCTTTCTTTTTTTAAAATACTGGTATATTTTTATTGATTTCAGAGAGGAAGGGAGACGGAGAGAGAGATAAAAACATCAATGATGAGAATCATTGATTGGCTGCCTCCTGCACACCCCGGGCATGTGCCCTTGACTGGAATCAAACCTGGGACCCTTCAGTTCGCAGGCCGACGCTCTATCCACTGAGCCAAACCGGCTAGGGCGTCTGTGTGTTTTCTTAATTCTCGGTCGAGAGTGGGCTGCCATTCAGGCCACTGGCCTGCTTCCTGCTTCTCCCGGGGCCT